TTGGGCTATATGCCCGCTGATGGCCTGTCAGTGTTTTTGCCTCTCGCTTCTTGGTTGGGACGCTCAGGGCCCATTGCCACTCATCAGGGTCCAGGGGGAGGTCCTCGATTGGAGTCATTGGGCTATATATGCCCGCTGATGGCCTCCCTCGTCAATGACCCTGATGCGATAGACATCCTTTTGCTCCTTCCATATGAAGGGTTGCTGGTTATGCTGCAGTCTATCGTCTTTTAAAATGGAGAAGACTTCAACTAGCACGTGTGTCTGGTCTGCGAGGTGCACGTGCCCCACCTCCCGCTCGTGATCAGGCAGCCCTACCCAGTCATCTTCCCTAATGCAGGGGCCTTTTCTAAGAGTGGCGTACCAGTGGAGGGGAAAGCTGTCTATCAACTCAGCCAGTGCTCTTTCGGTAAGGTGACAGTACCGTAGTGTTGTTCGTAGCCTCTCCGTGCTCTTCCAGTTCCTTGCCTCTGCGTCCCAAAGGTCCCCGACCCTTCATACACCGTGCTTTACCCAACCCTTCCATGGTGAATCCGACGCGCACCGCACATGCCCTTCGGAGTCCGTTATTAGGCGGTTGCCGAATAGGGGCTGCCTGAATATTTCATCCCACCTCTCTGGGACCGGCCGGTTGGGGGGGGGGAGCCTCCTCCATGTACGTATGAGACGTACCCAGTATCTGTCGGTTGGATCCCCGTTTCTGTACTTCCTAGGTAGCCTCCAATATCTGTCCTCCAGCCATACTCGGGGATCAATCTCAGGTGGGGATTCTGGGGCGAGGTCAAAGATTTGTGCCAGGGCAAGGGGAACCCATGGGGAGGACGGTGAAAAGATGATAAGCTGGAGCCAACGAATCGAGAGGGCCTGGAATTGTGTGGCAGGGTCCACGATTCCTAGGCCTCCTTTATTTTTGGGCTGGATCACCGAATCCCACGCCACGCGGCTTATGGCGTGAGAGATGTTACTATCGCCTCTCCACAGGAATGCCGCCAGTTGTTGCTTCAATGCCTTGAGCCCCCCGTTACTCATAGGCCATCTCGAAATGACATCTGTCAATCTTCTTAGCAGAGCATGGAGTCTCTATCGTATAACCACCGGCCTTTGACTTTTCTCCCTACCCGGATTGCTGCTGCACTTCGAAAAAACGAACCCACATGGGCGCAAAATGTTTTCGTTTCGCCTGGCGCCGTTAGCCGTCTTGGTCCGGTAGGCTGCGCTGGTGTTGATGCAGAGGGTTAACTGCGCCGCATCTGCACCAAAAAGCTGGGAAAGGAATGGGTAGACCAATCACAACCACATTACCTCCCTGAAGCTATGGTAACCTCCCTCCCTCCTCTCCTTCCCTGATCTCACTAATAGCAGTGCCACTCTTCTATACAGCACGAGCGTAGAGGACAAAAAGGATGAAGCCCTCCAGTCTGTCTCCGCCTCAGATCCTCCACAGTGTCCACACTGCATGGTGTCAGACAAGCTCTACTTCGCACAAGGAACCGCTGTTATCTTGGATGAAAGGAATGTAGAACACATGCAACCTCTGGTCTTCCTTGCAGCAGCTATGACTGAACACTCCATAGCTCTTCTTCTTCTTCGTCGTCGTCTTCTTCTTCTTCTTGGTAAGCACTCACCAGTCAAGCCTCCTCTTCCCCCATCATGCCCTGGACTCTACCTCACATCTCCCCACTTCTCTCAGTCACATTTGCGGTGCATCAGCACCTTCTACTGGCTATGGCTACCACTCTCTCTCACACTCTAGCGATGGCAGCCGCACACTCTTGTGTCTGTCTTCTTCCAGCGCTGGCACTTGAGCAGCAGCAGTCCGGCCTCAAAACAGCGCAAAGCAGAATGAATGACTGAGTCCCCCAAGCCTTCAACTCTACCTCAGATCTCCTGTGACGAGCACTGGGTTCAAGGAGGAGGAGGAAGGGTGAGAGGGATGTGAATCCACACACACCCGACCAGACTCCAACGCAGAACTCAACTGGTACAATGAGGAAGCTCAGAGAAGAGTGGCAGCAGCAACTCAATGTCAAACTGGCACTCGAATATCGCAAACTGAGTACAGCACAAGATGTCTCACCGTGTGTGAGACTGGTACATATACCTGGGAACAGCCTAACGACTAGGCTGGGCTCAGGGGTATGTACAAAATCTGTCGGTACCAGAAGGGTACCGGTAAAAATGTCCAAGGGACAGAAATGTAAAATGTGCTGGTACCGAGGACATAGCAGAAAAAATAAATGTCCGGTACCAGGCATGAGGTCCAGGGATCGAGCCCTGGACTGATCCGTAACATCTCCCCGCTTCTCTCACTCACATCTCTGAGTGCATCAGCACCTTCTACTGGCGCTCTCTCTCTCTCTCTCTCTCTCTCTCTCTCTCTCTCTCTCTCTCTCTCTCTCTCTCTCTCTCTCTCT